TCCTGAGATCACAGCCATACAGCAATGAAACCATGACCTACACACAAGGAACAGGAAGATGGACTAATCCCTATTGAAGGAGAAGTTGGCAAATAATGCTTGCAGCATGCTGAGCTGAGGTTGGAGGGGAGCTGAAGCAGCCATGCCAACAACATTAGCTGCTCCGAGGGCTGGGGAGGCACCCAACCAGCATGGGCACTGGGAGATGGAGGAGCTCTGAGTCCCACACCTGAATGAACACAACCTTGGTCTAGTGCCTGGGCAATGAGAACAGCTTTGTGGTGTTGCTTCCCCCGTACACAAACCCTCACACAGACCAGGCACAATGTTAAGCTCTGGATGTCATAGCTCCAAAGTGGCTCTCAAGGGCTGCTTAATTGAAAAGCTGGTCCCAAGCCTCCCTTCAGACTTGTACTTTTTGTGTCTTCCAAATGCTAGAGAGGAGCTGAGGGCTCACACCAGATCTCAAGCATCTTCTGTGCAAAAGTTACACCATGAGATACTCTTCAAGGAGGTCATCACTCCTGTCAGACTCTTCCCCCATTCTCTCCCTATTTTCAAAGGCCTTGGCTTTTAATGTGTAAAGCTTTTGCCTTTGCGTAATCATTGGAAGAAAGGTGATGCAACCTGTGGGTGGAAGAGAGGTCAGAATAAAATCAGCCAAGCAACAGAAAGCATCTCTATTCACCGCAGGTCTGCTGGCAGTCAGAGATTATAAGATGCAACTGGCAGGAAAAGTGTCATTGCACAATTAGTCAAAGCAGCAGTGTTTCCTTTAGAGGCATTCAGATTCCTGGGCATCCTACAGAGTCTCCAAATAAGTAATATTTGGTTGTGACAACTGCCTAGCATCCTTCTGAGCACTAAAAACAGAAAGCACTGACATCACAGAAAATATTAGTGGCATAAGTCACTCATCAAATTAAGAATAACAAAAAATCCAAAAGCCCACACATTTGATTAAGAAAAACAACCTCATCACCATTAGCAATCACAAATGCTGCTTCCCTGGCAAGGCTCAAGCTACCTGGAAAATATTCATGTTCCCTTACTTCTACAGGAATCTCAACAGAAGAAATGCCATCCATCCCTCTCTCCTCTATATGCTCCATTCTTCTCCATATGGTGCTGCCTGATAGTAAATGAGAAATTAAAAACAGCAGCAGCAGCCTCTGCCCTCTTCTCCCCCCATCATCTTCTGCCAGCACTGACTATAAAAAAAAAATCCACTGGCCCAAAATGGGGACTGAACTATTAACTGCTGAGCTCTGTGCATGAGTGCTGTTCATAGTTTTACCAAGCACTGGTTGTTCTGAATTACCTTCTCTTGAAAAAGAATCCTTATGATAGACTGAACACCTCCATGTGTATTGTTTGTTTCTTTAAATTCAAAACATGGAAAAAAATAATAAAGAGAATCAGAAATTAAAAAACATTAAAAGCTTTGGCTCTGATGCAGGCAGCAGTAACTGTAACGTTATATCCTAGTCCTTCCACATTTGCAGAGACAGTTTTTCTCTGAACTGTGAACTCCATTCATAACTTTCAGCTGCCTTTTCACTTTCCATCTTCAATCCCATCAAAGAAGTGAGCTTCAGCTCAGGTATTCAAGATGGGCCATTTGCAGTCAGTAAAGTTAAAAACATTGTAAAACAGGATCCAAATAATCTTATTACGCTTTGGAGCAACTGAATCAAATACCTAAGAACTAGGGGAAGAAAACAGTAGGCACTGAGTTTTTATTTTTATTTTCTTCACCGCATCCATTGGAGGTGAGGGAGGGGTAGACTACCACGTGGACTCACAGAAAGCCTTCCATCCCCAGTGTGCATAGGGAGATACAGATGAAGAACAGGAGGTCACAGAGGAGTGGGTGCAGTGAATATGACAAATAACACATTGCCGTGTGTGAGCGTATGGTCTCTATGGATTAAGCTTGGTTCCTCACAGAATAGATAACCATGCCATTGTCATAGGCATCGCAGACTTCTGGCAAGATTTGGATGCTGAGAGTAATTAAGCTCTGTCACCAAGATGCAATAGCCAACAGCCTTGACCTTCACATGCAATGCTTCAGGCAGTGCCAGTCTGCTCCAAGCAGCACACCCAGCCAAGCCAGCCCAGTCCTGCTCTTTCACATCTTCCAATGGAGACAGAGTCCACCCATAACAAAAATTTCCAGCAGAGGCTTCAAAAAGTTTTGGTTCCATTATTCCATCAATGTTCCCATGCACACCAGTGACCTGAAGCAGCAGCAGGACAGGAGGCTAGCACAAGGACACCTGCTGAGATTCAGGCTGCCTCCATGACAAAGTGTTTTTATTAAGAGTATAAGTCATAGAATCCCTTAAAAAAATCCCTTGGCTTGCTCAAAAGACCTGGACAGATGAAGAAGCTGTAACATTTTCGTTTTTCATTCAATCTGTGGAAGAAAGCTTGCTCTGGTCTTTTAAAAAAAAACATAGCTTTGAAAACTACCTCAGACCTCATAACTGCCACATAAACAAAATGCATAGCCCAGGCTACAATTCACTTAGTGTATTCAGTCCAGCACAAGCCAAGTGCAAATGGATGCAGAAGCAGAAAAAATACCTCCTAAGCAGAGACAGCAGCTTCATCACTGAACAGAACTGGTGCAACACAAGAGATCAGTGCAGTAACAGCAGGTATTCCCCTAACAACAGGGGGAAGAACAGGATGCATGGAGCTTGACAACTGGAAGAAAAAATACATGGCAGGAAACTATGAATACCAGGGAGTAGTAGGGAGAAGGATTCCAGGAACATAAGCAAGAAGTGGCCTGAAACCTGCATTTGCCAAGCCTCAAGATGCATGCCTTCAGCACTAAGGCAGATCACACCACAAAGAAATGCTTTCTTCCACTTCAGTAGGCAATATTACCTCCTTAAATCCCCCTCAGATGTCAGCACAGCCATCCACATTTATCAGGGTTGCCCTTTGGCGTACTCATGGAAGAGGCAGGAGCCCAGGCATGGTAGCAAGGCTCTTCCACCATGGTCAGTGGGGTACACCATGCTCTACTTTCTGCAGATCTACCTGTCCTGCTCCCCAGCTAGCTCAGCTGATAGATTGCTCCTCTCATGCTGCAATACAAGGTGAGGCAAGGCTGGAGGGAAGGACAATCAGGAACTGCAGGGCAATTCCTTTTGGAGAAAGGTTTCCCACCTTAACAGGAATGTTTGGCATATGCCCATCAACCTAAGTTTTTGTGACATGCTAAAATTAAAGTGCTACAAGCAGAATATATTAAAAACTAACACAAGAAAAGGAGGGCAACCTTCCCCATTCACAGCTCCAGGACTACACACTCTGCTCACTGACAGCTTAGCTCCAAGCCAGCAGGCACTGGCAGATGTCCCCGGGGTATTCCCAAGCCTTTCAGGCTGCTCAGTCAAGTGAGGACACTGTGAGCCCCTGTCACTGATTTTGCTTCTCCGTTTGAAGGTGTCCATGCACTTGGGGCCCCTGTGCTAACATGGCACAGTTACAGGCAGAAGTTCTGAGGGAAGCTTAAGACCAGAATAAACAACTTATTATGGGTAATGAGTTTCTCATTCTTTTAACTGATGCAGTGCCAGTCACCGAAGTGCAAGGCTGTGAATCCCAGCATCAGCACAGGCATAACAGAAAGTGCTTTTCAAGGCCTATCTTAGGGCAGGATCACATTATATTCTATCATAAAGATTGTCCCAATGGCAGTTCAACAAGGCAGGGCTTGATTCACAGACCTTCTGCGTTACTGCTGCAGCTGAGGTCAACCACCACAAATAGAGCAGATAATTAGAAGGGAAGTTTGTGCTGTTGAGCAAACACATCAAGCAGAGAAAGATTTTTTTTGTTCTGAAAAGGTAGAGAAGCAGTGTTTACAGAACTACATGAACACCTTTGTATTGGTCAGAAAGCACATACACCAAAAAAAAAAAAAGAGGGCTTTGCTCACAGTTGAAGCCTTACACACTGATAGTTCTGGTGTTTATATTCATTGCTATTGCCATTTCAGGGCTTGAACACTGGGTAATCTATACCCCTGAAAGGCCAGAAGCATGACAGTGCAGGTGACTCTTTGCAGAGCTGTCCCTTTGTTTCCAAGGAGAATGAGACATCAGGAACAGCCCTTGAGGACTAACAGATTACATTCACTGCTGGCAAACACACAGACAAGTTCATTGCAGCAAACAGCTGAAAGCAACACATTTCACAATCTTGTTCTACAGCACAAGAAGAGAAGCATGGATATCTCCCACCTGGAAGAACCCAGGCGATGCTTGCACAGAGAGAGAAGTGTTTGCTTTAACACAGAAGCAAAATATTTTTTTCCCCTTCAGTTTGCGGATTTGCCAGCTTTCCATGTTAGCTTAATTTTCCTACTCCACCTTGTTCTCAGAAGCTGGCCACAGCCCCCTGTTTGAGAGGCACCTTTTTAGTCAAGGAGAAGGCAAACTGTTCACCTATATTTAAGAGACTGCACACGTGGACATCAGACAGTGTTCAGATGCTTCATAAGGCACACAATCTGCATGATTCATCTTATCAGTAGAGCAATGCAATGTCATTGACAAAATCCCTACACAAACAACCAGCTGGAAATAAGATTATGCCTCAAGGAGAAGAGACTGATTGCCTCAGTGATTTTACTGTACAATAAAAATAAAAGCCATCTTTGTCCACATATTTCTCTAATCCCTTTCTGAAACATTACTAAATATCACTGCATGACACAAGTGAGCTCTATACAAGTTAACAACACATCACAAAAGGAGGAGCTCAAGCACTGGTGTTAAGAAAGCTGAAGCCCTTTGGCTCACTAATGAAGCTGCAGATACCAGAGATATTTTTAGAATGCCCATAAACCTTGATATAATCCACAAGAAAAAGTTTCGTTATGACAGGAAGATATGGAATGTTACACCCCACACCCTAAAATATCTCCCAGTGCTATGAAAAACATCCATAGTGCCAGCACAAAAAGAAAGCCTTACCTGACATCAAGCAAAACTTAAATATTCCTCAGTGCTGTAATTCCTGAAACAAAAAGTTATTAGCAAATTTAAATTAATTCTGCTCCGGGCATTATGATACACTATCAGTTACTCCCTTACTTCCCCTGGGAAATATTCCTCTATTGCTGTCAGTCAACTGCTTGAATGGTTAGAGTTTACCAGGTGCATAACATATATTGATTTTTGATGAATTACATCCCTCTCTGGGCCATTATTGGTTTTGTTTTCAAACCTTATTTAATTGTTCACCTATTTTTTCAGTGAAATAAATGCAAAGTGTTTATTCTCCAAAGGCTGTAAACAGAGATCTCGGGTCTAGTTTCTATGACAACCTCATTTGATACAGCAAACCTAGATTCTCTCTAATGACAGACATGAAGTTTAAATTGCACATTCTGCACAAACAGTGAACTGCTGACCTTTTATTGAAAAATGGAATACGGTGTGATTAGCATGATGTGCTATACGAAAGGGAAAACTGTGGAATAATGCCAATTATACTCTAATCATAACTACAGTGCTCATCTCAAGCAAAACGTCTGCCAGAACAAGTAGCTTTAAAAATCAGGATATACCAAGATACCATTTCCTAACGCTGCTAGATAGCAATGCTTTCATGTTAAATTGTTCTCAGATAACACATGCTGCTCCTGCTATTTGTCTCCAGTTGCACTTTTTTTTTTTAAACATGGAAAAGAAGATGAGGTTATGTAGGAATATGGACAAAAAATTCCAGCTATGAGAACTATTTTTAAATCTCCTGAAGGCATCTTTTCCTCACGCTCGCAAATTCATTTGGAAGAGAGAGACAAAAGACATTGCTCTTTTTGTCAAGTGTTGTCTCCTGAAACCTGCATGTTTTCCTTGAAGGAGTATTTGCACATATGCCAGTGAATAAAGACCAGCTCATTGATTGAGACAGGGGAGGCTGCAGGAGATGTTCTGCTTTGCAAGAATGGAGGTGGAAAATCTCTTGCCTTCATACACTGCAAGTTTCAGTAGGATTTGCTTTTGTCAGCTCAAAGAAGTGTCTGCAGCAGTTTATAACATGAATACTTCAGAGAGCTGGGGGTGTGAGCTGAGGTTCCCCTTGGGGCTCAAAGAGCCACATGCTGCTGCAAGGGGGTGGCAGGCTGCTAAGTCTTTCTTTACTTGGCAGCATATTTTAACTTTAATTCCTTTAAGCATTCATGAAACAATAGGAAATGCTTCCGATTGCTGAGTGGGATTTCAGTTCACCTGTAATCAAAGTAATCAGTGAACACACTGGAGACAACCACTCAACCAAAACCATGAGTAACATCAAAATAGAGATTTAGGTGGCAGAACTGATGACCTAAGGAACAAGGAACAAAGCAGGGAGAGCTTTACTTCTGCAGTGCCCCAGAATAGCACCCAGTTGATCGTTATCTTCCCTCTTAGAATTGAAAGAAAAATTAAAGAGCCACTGGTGTGACAGTAGTGACAAGTAGGATCATAGAGTTGTTTGAGCTAAAAGAGACCTTTAAAGGTCATCTAATCCAACTCCCCAAATACAGGACATGGGATACTTTCACTCTGAGCTACTACCCCCACCACTTCTATTTCCTGCATATTGAGAGGTCTCTGCTTTTCAGAGTATTCCACTTGACAGTATTATATTTTTCCTCAATAAAGCATTGTCTTCCATTGCAGCAGCTGACAGGAAGGAATCCATTAATTTAAAAGGCATCTACTTGTATTCATGTGGAGGTACAACCCTGTGATTTGGTATGTATGATAGGAAGCTATGTGTTTGGTAGGGTGGCACACCCCAAACTTAGGTATTTTTAATCCCCACAAAATTGCCCTAACTTGTCCACTGTAGGAGAGGTTTTAAATTCTGCTGCTTCATGTGAATGGCAATGAGCATTTGTAATGCCACTCAGGACTGGATTATGAGACAGATTGCATCAACCACATCTGCACAACTGTTCAGATGCTACCACAGATTTTATAAATCTTTACCGCTCAAAAAAAGTCAAGGTAAATATTGACAATAAAAACAGCAGCAGAAGCCAACATGTCTGATCAGTAACTTCACAAACACTCTCCCTACCTACTGGTAGGTCTAAACACAAATAAATTAGTGCTTTGAAAGACACTGTAAATTATAAGCCTATTCAAACAGACTTTCACCTCTAGCTTCTGTGTCAGACTAATACATTCCCTAGACACTTGTCTCTCCAGGTCAGAGGAAAGTAATTTCTTCAGTTCCCATCACAATATTTTTGGTTAAGACACTGATAAATGTTGGTACCCCCAGTTAATTCTTGTCCTCTGTTTCACATTTCCTTCAGGCACAGTTTGCATAGCTCTAGTCACTTGTACAAATATTTAAAACCAGCAAGACAAACCAAGCATAACAAATCCAGAAATAAAGCTACTCCCACAGAAGCTAATGTTTACCCAAGCTGGGATATGAAATATTCCACACCTCTCTCCTGGCAGCCTATTCTCTCTCTAAGGCAAGATCTGATGACACTCTGGATAACAAGGATCAAAGAGCTGAAGCCCCTGACACATCAGCACTTCCACCTTCAGTAGTGGACCTTCCTGGCCTGCTCTCTGGAAGAGATGCAGCTCCTGGAGGTGGAAGTCAGAGATGGACTTTAAGGTAACAGCGCCTGTGTCAGTCCCATACATTCATCCAGAAGTCAGCTGTCTGGTTACCATCAGTCTCACTCAGGAATGTGAGGGAGAGGGGGCATGATCCCCCAGCTTTTTGCATCACTCCATATCTGTAACAGCGCTAGGGTTTGGCTACCCTATCATAATGAGCGAAGATTTCAATCAGGCAAGAAAAATCAACCAAGAGATCACATTAAGTAATTTGTTCCTAAAGTAACAGCTAGCTGGTAACTGTAAGTGTTCTGACACAATCACCTTCCTAAAGTAAATACCTGCTACAAAAAGTAGACAGCTGAAACACCATTAGTTTGTAGGCGAACTTTTAGCCCCACAGCTCAGACAAGCATCTACCTATTTTTTTCTGTGCAATGTAACCAGCTCTGTGAGATGCCAGACAGCTAAGAGAGCACTCCAGACTAGAAACAAAGATACTATTCACTGGAGACTGCCACAGTTATTGTTCCTACCTATGCACATCCCACCACTTCTGCAAGGCTGACAAAACAGTTGGAGATAGCTTTCTATTCCCAGCTGCTTAACAGTGCTGTCAATCAGTGATGCAGCTGGCATCAGGCAAGCAGCAGCAATCAAACAACGTGGCCCATTGCCACTGTGAAGACCAGAACAGAGTCTCAAACACATGCAAAACTCCAGCCTATATATACACCCATTCAGGGTACAGATGGTACTTGGATGTCCATGGGGGTCTGAAGTAGAACTGGAGAGCTGCAGGGTATTTATGTACACCACCACTCCACACATGACTGAATTTGCTGTACCGTTCACCTGAATTCAACATTCATTTGTGCTTCAGTCCAAAAGCAAACTAGGTTTTTTTTTTTAAGTAATGAAATCAGGTTAATGCTTGTGACTGCAATATTTAAACATTATTTCAAATTTTCAAAGAAAAAGACATTCACAAAATAGACTTCTTCACAAGAACCCCTGCTTCTATTATTGGTCATTCCCTCCTTACCAGCTAAGGATTGTCAGGACCTTCAAAATGCATCATTACATTCTCTAGGAAGAGCATATTGGATCAAGAGAAGTAGGGAAACCATTCCCATTTACTGAGGAGATTTCTAATCCAGTCAATAGAAGCACGAGGATGAGATCTCAAAAAAAAATTCTTTCAAAGTCAATTGCAGTAAACCTGTTCTCGTCTCTCAGCAGAGTGATGAAATAAAATATTGTAAATTAGTGAATGTGAGCAAAGTGAGCAATGCCCAATGGGCGATGGTTCGCTGCTAGAGCGGCTTCCAGCTTTGTTGGATTCCTGCTATACTGAAAGGCTGTAACAGAACTTGAGAATTATATTATTAAATTGGTGGCTGTGAAAAATCAGGATGAGATTCAAGCTGCCAGATACGATAGGAATGTTAGGCAAAGGTGTCTGTAAACTTCTACTGACCCTGAACACCAAGCAGGTCAAGAGCTCTTTCATTAATACTAATACTTTTTGTATTGGAGCTTCACATGAAGAAATCCTGCTGACTGCTAGGGTCAAAGAGTTCACAAGATCTGTTGGCCACATCAGCAATACATTGATGATTGTTTCTCCTGTGACCCCATGGTTGATGGAAGGCCATTTGTAAGGGAATTGCTTTTCACACAGAAAGAAGTCTGATGAGGGTATAAAGCATCTGGAGTAGGACAGACTGCTTCTTTCATGATGCAGTAATGAACAAGGCCACCACCCTACTGAGACACAGCGTTTCTGTGCATCCCCAGGTTTCTTCTTCCTATTCTTGTCACTAAGTTTTCCCCTACAAGACACTTTTTCCAGTCCTGGTTGCTAAATGACTACCACTCCCCTATTCATGAACTCTGCATGTATTCCACTTGTAAATTAGACATTCTGAAGTCCAAATCAACATATAGCTATCTCTCAACTACTACACCTCCTAGATACCTTGCTTTTGGGGTCCCTGCCAACAAGGCTTCAGGAGGGATAAAAGATTCAGATGCACAGCAGTAGAGGCGTCACAGCCACAGGTAATGTGAAGAACAGGAGCATAAGAATTATAGAAGCAAGGTCTGGGGCAGACCTCAGGAGAACATCACCCTTAGGAAGCCCATGCAATTCAGCTACATTACTGGTGACAGATACCCCTCTGACCTATTCCAGAACTAGTCTATGGAACCCCTCCAAGAAGATAGGTCTGAGAAACCACTCTTCCCATCACTGTAATGAAAGATTGCAATATCTCTATTACTGTGCCTTCCCAGGATAATCCTTCACTTCATGCAAATTATGGTCTTCTGCAATAGCCTGGAGGCTCTCCTCCCTAGCAGATAGCACTCTGTTTATAAAGACCTTCACATTCTTGCATGTTTAACTTGTTAGTGAATAATGGTTTCATTACCTAGTAG